TAAAAAGTATTTATCACTGAAACACTAAAATTCTTTTGGTAAATTTTAAATTTCAGCCTGCATGCTTCAGTGGTAGAAATGTCAAAATTCACCTCTCCCTTTTGTGTGATAGGAAAAATGCATGTGTTCCCTTGAAAACAGCAACTTGTTTTATTTCTGTGAGCTTCAAGTTAATGTCACATTTGGGCAATGTGAAATATCAGTCAAAGAAAAAGAAGGTTCAGACACTACCACGAATTTGGAAACCTAAGTGTGGAAAGGATATATCTAGTCATGCCTTGCTATTGCTGTCAACATCACCTGTGCTACAACTGCCTAAGAAGTTCGAAAGCAAAATACATATCCCCTTTTTTTCAGTGTTATTTCACATAAGAGAACTGTAGGGAGAGCTCCACAACTCTCCTTCATGGAGAGTGTGTATTATGTAGGGCAGCACAGAGGCATATTAGTCTCTATAGAGTAGCTTTTCCCCATGCCATGCAGCCAGGCATGTACCAGAAGACTTCATAGTGAAGAATGGAGAGTGGTGCGACGTTACTGGTTGTATAGATTTCTGCCTTGTAAGTGGGGGGTAAACCAGACAACACATAGTGATGTGCTGAGAAACAGACTGATATGCAATGCTGTCTCATCTCCAGGGTTTGGGAGAAAGCTGTGTGCTGGCTCCATTTCACACTGCAGCGTGTTATCAGAGAACTGGTGGAGTAAAACCAGCATTTCCAAACTCGATATATTTATCTTCTTTTCCACCAGATTATCACATTTTTCAGTGCTTGTGAAGTTTTTTCTTCATCTTTTCTGCTCACCTGAGGTTGTACACTAACAGAAGAGAAAAGTTGAGTCTACTTCACCTGATGAAGAAATCAACTCTGATTGTACAGACTTCTTTAAGGAAGACATTGAGATGGAATTTTGTGGAAGGCAGTTTGAAATTCAGATTCTGGGCTACATTTGAAGAACACAGGTTGGAAAAGAGTAAGTTTGTAAACTGAATAAATATTATTCCAACTTGATGAATTTGTGTTCTGAAAGGACCGTGCACACATCAGGACTGCGAACCATGAAATCAATAGGAAGTAAGAAAGCTTAGATAGCAGGTAAAAATGTCAGTGTGTTATTGGGTCTGAGCCAAGGTTTGACAGCATAAAGTAGTGTGCAAACACAGCACAAGACTCTTCCTCAAAGAGCTTGATGTCTGACTGTAAAGAGCAAATTATTGAGAAGTAATACAGGACTTCCCATTACCAGCTCTAGGCATCACATTTCCTATCCTATTATGTTTTAAAACTCACAATTTTAGGTTTAACAGACCCACTCAGAAGAACTCACAATTTCCTTTTAGCATGTTGATTTTCAACTAGATGTTGTTGCCTTCTGATACACATGGAATAGCAGTACAAATAAACCTTGTGTACATTTCTGTCTTTAAACACTAAAAAGGGAAGTAGTTTGAAGAGGAGAATTAGAAACCCATGATTTGCCATCTTTCAGTAGTTCAGTTACTCAGCTAGAGCTCTTCAGACAGTCCACAGTCAGTTGGCAGGACGTACAAATCTACTACAACAGTCAAATACTAAATAAAGTGTTCTTCCTCTGCATTGTAACAAAGGAAAAAAATTAGGGCCCAATCCCTCTTCCAAAGAGGCCCATATTGATAAAGGCAATGGGATTATTCTATCTTTGGCTGCAGCAAAAGCAGGACAAAATTTGAAACTGTACAAAGTGAATACAAAGGACAACCTGACTGCTTGTGCTGACAGTGTGCTCTCCTATGCATGATGTGGCACATCATGTCTCTTCCTCAAAGTATTTTATAATTTGGTTGAAAGATGACTTAAGGAATCAGCTATTGGCAGCTGACCAATGGATCTCCAAGTGTTAAAAGTGTTGAAGACTTTAATGACTTGCTATACACGATGAGAGGCTGAGGCCCATCATAGTCCTACCCTTGAGCATTTGCATGATCAGAAAAGCATACAGAAGGCACCTCTATTTTTGCAGTAAAAATAGAAAACATCAAGGAAGAAAAAAATCCCACCATTTTCTCTGAAGACAAATTAAAATTTGACCCACAGGTTGCCATGGATACAAAAGTCAGTTTACTCTAGCAGTGCTTTCTAGCAACTAAACACTTGTGATTAAGGAGAAAACACATTTATGTTTATTATGTTCCATTAGGTTTATATAATTAGTTTTTTTCAATTGCAAGCCTCTACTGATGACTGTTTTCTCAGCTGTTCAGAAAAACCTTGCAGCATGATGAAACCATTGTTAGAACTACCTTTACTGTCGTGGCTTCTCCACAGTCATTTGTGAACAAATGACTACTAGCACTTATTATTATGACTTTTACAATCCAGAATCCTTATTTCAGGTTACAGCAATCCAACCAGTAGCTTACATGAACGACTATGAGTTAGACTGCTTACTACAAGCTAAAATCCTAAATGTGCGGTCCTACATGGGAGCCTCTAGAGTTCTGTCTCACAGAAGTGATCTTACCCTTCTACGCACACACAACAAACTCAAAGCAATCTCTCTACTCGTGGGACAGGAAGAATAGCTACTTGTCATTTTACAGATAGGCTGAAACAGAGGATAGTTCCATCAACAAAAGCTGCACATGTGTGTATGGCAAGAGATTACACCTTTAAAAATTGTGCTGGATTAGTAGCCACCAGCCATAGCTGTCTCCTCCCAGAGCTCTTGTTCCAGAATTCTCTTTAAAAAACCAACCAACCAACCAACCAACAAACAAAATAATATTTTTTTAAAAAAAAAAGGTAAGCTGAAATTTTGGCATTTGTCATGCCATTCAGAGTGAAGGCAGTGGCAGTGTGCCCAACCAGCTGTAAGGGGAGCCTAGAATGAAGTGTTCAAGACAAGCAAGAAATCACTGCTGTGTTAGCCAGCAGCTACAGAAGTTCACGTGTGATTCTTCAATCTCTGAAATGGTTCCATTAATGTCTTTACTTGGAACTCATTTTCATGAGCCTTCTTTTTCTATCCTGGTCTTCAGAGCAGTCCTTCCTGTTGTTGTGTTTTACTGAAAAATAGAAAATATAGAGACATTTCAAAGTCCATGGACACACTCATAAAACCTGCATGCTGAGATGAATTCACCTGGATGAATTCAGCTCCATCCAATCACAAATCAAAAATTTACTTCAATGTTTCTAGTACAAAAAATCTGACAGCATCTTTAAGGTACTTTTCCAGTCTTAAAAAACACTGTGTGTGAAGGTCATCACAGAGCCTCACAATTTTTTGTTTAATAGGAGCTCATAGGGCTCAAGCTGGTCACTCATCGATACCAGCAAGAAAATTTCTGCAAGTCCAGTTATACCTCCAATGGCAGCTTTGCAATTTCATTGTCTTCAAATGACAATTTGTTATAGGTGAGCGTATTCTGAAGACAGCAGAGTAGCATGGATGTGGTTCAAAGGGCACTCTGGCTACAGAGCTGTGATTTCTGGTGAGTGGTGAGGTGAGATGAGAGGAACTCAGTGTGATTCCCGCATTACAGGCTAAGCTGGCAGAACATGCAGGGAAGTAAAAAAAAAAAAAAAAGAAAAAAAAAAAAAAGAAAAAAAATCAATTTGATCCATTTGTACAGAAACTTAGTAATTTTTAATATAATCAATAGGACATTTATGAGATTTTTCATTGTAGAAGAATGGCTTAAATCTCACCCCTCAAATTACCCTGGGCTTTTCAGTTTGCTTGAGGATGCGTAGGAGATGGATTCTTTTCTCAGGACTTGGCTGCATGCACCATACACAATCTTAAAGTTTTAATGAAGTCATTGCATTTTAAAAATATCTGAATAGAACATAAGATTAAACTTTTAAATACTTATACATTCCAGTTTTTATTATATTCCAGGTTGTGCTAAAGTCCTTGAAAATCATTTGAAGGACATTAATCTTCATTTTTAAAGGACAGAGATATTCACTGTTATAAAACGTGTGACGTTTGTCATAGTAACAGATCTGTACAGTAACCTACACCAAACGATTGTATATAAAAATGCAAATTATGCGTGTTATCCTCTGCCCCAATTGCATATAGCCATTCCACAGCAACTGATTCATGGCCATTTGAAGGCACTGCTGTAAGGGTAGGCTTGATAGTCACTGTTGTTGGCGAGAAAGAAGGCAGAGAATATTTTTGTAATGAGTGTTTGTACAGTAAGCAGCACAGTGGGGTGTCAACGGTAATGATCGTAAACCTTGATCAGTGATTTCAAACACAACAGTAATGTCAGACAGAACGTTATTTGTGCATAACCAGAGATTTCAGCTGCCTTATGAAACCCGTAGATTGCTCTGGGGACACTTCTGAGCCATCTGTAACTAACCCACTCAAAGCACGCTTACTTTCCCCTCCCCGTTCTCCTTGCGCCACCATATTGCTTTTCCATCAGTCACAGCAGCGCAACAAGCGTCACAGCTCCGGCGGGGCCGCCTTCAGCACCGGGCCGGACGGACAGCTCCAGCCTGGACCGGCCCCGGGGCGGGCTCGTGCTGGGAGGCGAGGCCGCGCAATGGGAGCCGGGGCCGTGCCGGGGGCGGCGCGGCGGAGGGTCCCCCCTTCCGGCGGCGATGAGCAGAGGCGGCAGCTCCGCAGCCGGCGCTGTGGTTTTAAATGGGCGGAGCGGCGGCGGGCGGAGGGGCGGCCGGTAGGCGGTCGGCGCTGGCCCGCGGCTCCCATATAACCCCACCTCCCGGGCGAGGAGTGCCGCGGTAATTGGCTGGATGTGGTACTTGGAGATGTTGAGCTGGCTCCTTCCCCCCATGTCCCTGCACACACACAGGGGCGGGTGGTGCGGGCGGGAGCGGGAGGCAGGGCTCAGCCCCGGCGGTGGTGGAGCTCGCCCATCCGCCTGCCTGCCCGCCGCCGTGCCTGAGCCGCTCCTGCTGCTGGGCTGCTGCCTGCGGCCGCAGGACCCGGCCGAACCGCCCCGAGGGGAGCGCGGGCGGCTGCTGGCGGCTGCCGAGATGATGGCGGAGGGCGGCGGCGGGCCGGCGCGGCGGAAGGCGCTGTCGCTGCTGGAGGCGGCCCGCTCCCGCTACGAGAGCCTGCAGATCTCAGACGATGTCTTCGGGGAGTCGGGCCAGGACAGCAGCGGGAACCCGTTCTACAGCACCTCGGCCGACTCCCGCTCCGCCGCCTCTTCCCAGGACGAGGAGGACGACGAGGAGGGCGAGGGGCGCCCGGAGGGGCGCCCGGAGGGGCCGTGCCCGCGGAGCAGGGCGGCGCGGCGTCGCGTCCCCAGGCCGGCGGCGGCCCCGGCGGAGCGGCGGCGGCAGCAGCAACGACAAGCAGGAGGCGGCGCGGTGCCGGGCGGCCCGGGCCCGATGGAGGAGGGGGAGGAGGAGGAGGACGCGGAGACGGGCGGCTGGACGCGGTCTCTGCGAGACGTCCCGCCGCCTCGCTTCAAGGATAGCAGCGGTACGCGGGGAAATCGGGGCGGGCGGCGAGGCCTGGGCGATGGTGCGGCCGTGCCAAGCGGGCATCGGGGGCGCGGGTGCCTCCCGAGGCCGGCCCGGCCGTTAGGCTGCCGTGCGGGGTGCGGGCCGCGTGCGTGCTTAGTCACAAACGTCTTTCCCCGAGGCGCAGAGCGCGGACAGCAGCGGGGTGCTGAGGGACTGCGTGCGGGCTCCTCCCGGGGCAGCGCTTGCGAAGGCCCTGCCCACAGGTGGGGACACGCGGGGAAGCGAGCGGCTGGCTCGACCCGCTGCCCGCGGAGCGGAGCGACTTCCTCTTGCGAGGCTTTTCGTGCCTCTCTCTTTCATCCTAACCGTTCTGCGTGGTGCGTGGTGGAAGTGAAATCCTGAGGGTGGTGAACCGGCAGGCGGTCGGGCAGCTCGGATCTGTGCGGGGCGACTTGTGTAGCGAGTTGCACCGCTGGGTTCCGTCAGCTGACACATCTGTCGGCAGGGCCGAGCATCCAAGTTGGCTGTGGAGGGGAAAAGCTTTGCAAAAACAGGTCGTTGGTTACAAAGGGGTGAGGCATCAAATGAAGTGCTTGTGTCTCAGAAGGGTATGCACTGCCTGGCTCCACTGAGCTGATGGATGGCTTGTTTGCCCTAAGGTTGCTTGTCTTCACTGTTTGTTTGTTTGTTTTTTTGTTTTTTACAGCGTTTAATTAATTCACTTTGCTATTAGAATGTCAGTGCAGGTGAGTGCTTCTACACCTGGTGTAGTATGCTGGAATTTGTGCAGTGGGATGGGTAGAAACCTACCTGAGGGAGCAGCTAGGGATGAGGGACTGAAGTGGAGCTGGCACTGAAACTCAGAGTTCCATGGTGCTTCAGGCAGATGTGAAAAAGAAGTTGCCATTTCCCCCTAGCTCCAGAAGTCTCTAGACACTGTAATATCCTTAAATATCAAGCTGATCTGCCTCTTTAAGGAACTCTTTGATTTTCAACTCATCAGATTGGTCTAAGATCAGATTCTGGACCACAGGCTTCATGGTGTGATGTTATTTTGGTATTAATTATCATTTAATTTCCTGTGCCTCCACTGGCTTATTTCTTCATATCATTACTTTATAGGCAGTATACACTCTAACAAATAGAACTGGGATTCGCATTTTACTGTTGCTTTGGGAAAGAAAATTAAGTTGACCTGTTAACTCTAGAATTCAGATTTCCTTTGAAATGAAAGAGTCTGATCTGCTGTTGTCAGAAATAGATGCAGAAGCCTCTTGAGATAGGCATGTGGATATTACTGTGAATATTTCCTCCTAGTAATAGATGGTGTAGAGTTTGCTGCTGCCCTTTCATTCTGTTGATCTTAATGATGATAATAGATGCTGCATGCTGTTCGTAGCATGGTGATTTGGTTTGGCAAAAGTTCAAATAGTGTAGTGCTTTGATGTGTCTGAAGCATGTACACTCTTATTATTTATTTATTGACTACTCTTATTCCAGACTACAGAAACTACTGCATTGTACAACCAAACTCTTGTAATTCTAGTCTGTAGATCAACTGGCTTTGGTCAATGCATATCTCATAATTAGGTCCGTGCTGAGCACACTTGTACTGTCACTACTGCCACTTCATTGGACAGTGTTCTGACCCAGGAGACTGGGACAGCACCACGGAAGAGGAGGACTCAGCTGATGTGAAGAGAACTGTTGTTTCCAATGGCACCACCTCTTTCTGTACCTAATGGACAAATGTAATGAAATATACAAGAAAGAAGTGTAGGGTCAAGCATGCAGCACTAACAAATTCTTCTCAATAAAAAGTTTTGGATGAAAGAATCTTTTCTTTCCAGGTTCTGATCTTAAAAAGAAGTTTTGAATGAGATAAAATTGAAATTAGCACAAAAGCTTCTCAGTATGGTCTTCTCGCCTTAGATGATGCAATGTACTTCCATTACTATACTTCTGAGATTTCAGCCAGAAAATAAATGTATTTAAGAACTGAAGTCTCATGAAACATCAGCTATATTGATTCTAGAAACAGATCTTTGAGTCAGACTAGGATCAAACTAGTGTCAAGCTGTTTGGTTTAGGAGACAGCCCCAGTAGGAAAGGGAAGGTATGGGACAGAAAAGGATTTAAAGTTTCTAAATAAGGATGAGCTAAAGCTATCAAGAGAAAAGTAGCCATTTATGATACTCTTTTGGTCTTTTTAACCAGAGGCAGACAGTCCTATTGCTTTACCTTTTTCCTTTTCTAAAAAATAATTACTTAATGCCTTTCCCTTCCCAGCCTCAATGTATTAACAAAGTGTTGTACTTATCCCTAGAATTAGTCTCTAGAGTTATCAGGCTTACTGTATTTCTGAGATGAAATATCAGTTGAGGTCCAGATGCTGTGGGGGCTGCTGGCAGTGTGAGATGTTTCAGTTCAGTATGCCCTCAGTCTGGACTCAAGTAGCTATGTGTACTCATGAGGATGTCTGTCTGCCTTGCCCACGTACTGCATTCTGATGGACTGGGAAGGAGCTGTATCAGCTTTGGGTGCTGAAAGAGAAGTGACTGGAGAGAATTACTGCACAACACTTAATTATAGGCTGCTTATAGCCCTGACTTGTTTTCTGCCCCTTTTTCAGGCATTTTCAGTTACTAGGTTGTTTTGTGTTTTTTTTTTTCTGTTCAATTTAATAAAAATAGTGGGTGCTTAGTGTCTTTTTTGTGCTAGGGAGGTTCAGGTTTGAAAATAAGGAAAAAATTCTTTTCTGAAAGAGTAGTCAAGCATTGGAACAGGCTGCCCAGGGAGATGGTTCCTGGAGGCGTTCAACAAATGTGTGAATGTGGCATGGAGGGGCGTGGTAGGTGAGCATGATGGAGGATGGGCTGGTGGTTGGCTACATTTTAGAGGCCTTTTCCAACCTTAATGATTCTGCGAAAGAAATATCACAAACATGAATAGCTTCATCAGACTTCCTTTGTGAGAATCCAAGGTAGCTGTTAACTCTAACACTGAGGTTAGAATGGATGGTTTTCTGGCTCTTGGTGTTACTTTCAGTTAAGCTATTCTGCAAAATCATTCTCTTTAGTTGCTGAGAAAAATACAAGCCATACTGTGATGCCCTGATTTTTGAACTGATAAATAGTAGCACTATGCAGCTCTGATCAAAATAAGTTGAGGAAACAAGGGAGCTCAATTGCTTGCCATAAATTTCAAAGTAATGATGTGAGTACTGTGATATAAGGTGTATAGGAGGTGCTGAAATTCTTTCCCTTGAGAAAGAGTGCATGGCTCCAGCAAGTCTGTGGGTAGCTCAATATGTGTATTTAAAAGGATGACTACATTCTTGAGGAAATGTTGGATCTCAGAATGTTTTGTTATATCCCTTCTCACTGTCTTGAAGAGAGAACTTCCCGTTTTCTCCAAACCTTACTGTGCAGGGAAGGTAAAATTAATTTGTTTGGAAGTGGACCTACAGAGAGGGAGAAGGGCTTCCAGGAAAGGAGATCTGACCTCTGCCCAAACACTACTTTCCTTTTGCAAGGAAGGATGGGTGGATTTTCTGTCTTCCCTTCCTGTGAGAGGAGGACTGAGTGAGCTGGGAAAGTGCTATTACAATAGGGGAAGTATAATTGAAATGCGGACAAAGCAACTATTACTACTTCATATGTGGGCTAGTGAATGCTAGAAACTCAATGTAAAACCTTGATTTCTGGTTCCTCCTGCCTTAAACTTATTTTAACATGTGTGCTGTTTCTTCACAGAATACCCTAGGTTAGAAGGGAATGAGAAAGATCATTCAGTGTAACTTTTGGCTCCACATAAGACCACACAAAGTTCAAATCCTATTTATGATAGCATTGTCCAAATGCATCTTGAGCTCCGCCAGGCTTGTTGCCATCACCCTGGATCACCACTGACTGAGGTTACCTCTCCCTAACAGGAGCTGTAGTGATAGTGCTCTTCTCTGTAGCCCTGAAAGCCACAGAGTGAACATCCTTCAGTGATAAGAAAGTCTAGAGGTGAAGAGAGTTGGGTGGCTCTGAGTAGTGCTTTCCTCTGTTTGCCTAGTAATCTGACCAGGAAACTTTCTATAAAACATGGGCGCTGTTGCTTTTGGTCTTTCTTCTTGGAGGTCCTAGAAATACGAATATTCTTGTATTAATGCATCTCGATGTTCCTGAATTGGGCAGCTGATACTGTGTCCCTAGAGTTTAATGCTCCCCCTATTTATATATCCAGTGACTAGAAAATTGGTTCTTAGATGTAAAAGCCATCCTGTTGTTAGAGATCATGTTTTAGGATGACAGCAGTAGCAGGGAAGTTTGATTAAAAATTATTGCTGAAGTCCTCAAAGTTACAATCAATCAGTGCTACTGTTTTCTTCATTTTTGTGTTCTCGGAAATCTGTTCTTAGACCTAAACCCAAGGACAAAACGTAAGGGCTGTTCCTTACTGACAGTTTGAGACAGCTCCTCCTCAGCAGGTTGCGTTTGGAGAGCATAGCTAGCTTCTTATGGGCTTTCAGAGTATATGTCAGACACAAAATGTGCTGTGAGATATCTTTGGAGAATTCAGTCCAGTAGAACAGCTTGCACTCAAGAAGTTGCATAGTCCATGTCTGGCAGTCAGGCTTCCCTTGTTACCTAGAAGAGGTTTAAATGAATATTTGAAGTAATTTTTAATATACTTCTTAGGAGACTAATTTTTTCCAAAGGGCCACGTGATGGGAAATAGTCATTTATTCCATGATGGCTAGCACATGAGAGAACATCTGTTCAAGGGAGGTTGTGTTGATGAAATAGCATGCATACAGGATAATAGCATGTTCCAGCTACTGTCAGAGAAGCAAGGGATAGCTCTAAATTGAAGTAGTGAACTGTCTACTTCATGCATCTTCTGGGAGCCAACTAGATACAGCTTCATCTGCAACAGCTTCTGAATAAAAGTCTCTAGTACTTGGTTTGAGTGGTATTTTCTTTCCAGTACTAGTAGTAGGCAAGTGATCTGTTTCACAAACTTCTC